TTTTTAGAGCGACAGCTTTTCCCCTCGTCAATGGCCCCAGTCACAAACCATTAATATTACAGTATTATTTGTCATAACATTGGCTCGGAACAAACGAACCCCAAAATAAGGTGTCCAGGGCCTATTTCTCGGACCTGTCTTGGACCTTTTGCTCATGATGATCCAACACCAAAATAAGATATCCCACGCTTATTTCTGGAGCTTGCGAATTGTGAGGATGGAAGCCCAAAATAAATGAACATAAGTTATCCAACTATTTTTAGCTATTTACCTTATTTAGGCTGAATGGCTTGATGATTCAGGCCATGGCGGCCATGGTGTGAATCCAAATTCCTGAATTTTCACATCGTGGTTCCCGAGACATTGACGTGGCGAAAACATTCGTAACCAGCGCACCTCATGGGAGATGCGAACAATTGAAATTTCGCTGATTTCGCGCACAAATTGCATTGCGAGACAAAAAAGGCATGAACAGTTCTTCTATGATCTTGGTGCTGAGAAAGTGTGGTTCTGCATTCGGCGTTCTCAGCATACTTTTCCTCCGGCGTGACCATTCACCTTGCAGCGAAAAACCGTGCTCTTTGACGGGCGCAGCCTGAGGAGACAGGAAGCGCACGATGCGGCATTTGCGCTGTCCGCTGTGAGGCTCTCAGGCTGTGCCAAGACCGGCCGGTGGGACCCCGTGGGACCCCGTGGGACCTCGACGTTCTGAGATGGGCCGAGATGGGTCGAGACGGGCGCCGTGGTTTTTCAAGTGGCTGATGCCGGGCCAATTCACACGCGGTTCTAGCCCCTTGCCAAGACTGCAATTCTTTGGGCGAGCCAAGATGCCAGTTTGAATCTTGAAACGATGACAGTTGTGTATCAGCCGTCAAGTGCGGTGCACTTGTCATGTCACTGTGACTCTGTGTGACCAACAAGATTGCTTTGAAGCAAGCAAGCGCAGACTGGGATATCTTCCAGGCAATTGCAAGTGAGTTGAAAAGGCCGTGGAATCGAAAGGGGCGGATGTGGCGATCTTTGGGACTGGTAAAGGGCTCATCCCTTCCAAGTTGGCGCGACTAGTGGAATTTTGTTTCTGCCAGTTGGAAAGGTTCTGGTTAGTGACTGAATTTCGGACAGCATGTTGCAATATCTCGTTTGCAATTCTTTTTCGCAAAGAAGTTTGGATGTGAGACCTGGATTGTTTCGGGGCCGAAGAGGTTGGAATTTGCAATTTCACCAGTAGATGCTGCAGAGACTTTCAGGACCAGCAATCTGTGGTTTTCATTTCTTGCGGTTTGCCAGTGCGTCCTAGGTTTATTTGTAGAAGGTTCATTTCAAGGAAGCTTGTTGAAATGGGTCCAAATTCTCCCCCTACCACAGCCAGGACGTTTTGTTTCCTGTTGTGGACATGTCCCCTCTGTTCGTTTGTTTCACCGACTTCACGACAAACCTTGGAGCTTTGCTAACACCGTGGGGCTGGAGCTTTGTGCCACCGTATGTGCCATGGCGCTGCCAGCAGGCGTCAGAAGGCAAACGGCGGCATGGTATTTTGATGTGTTTCTTGCAAGTACGTAGAAAGCCAGCGTTTTTTAAATAGAAAAGCCGTCTGTACAATGCGCTTCCTCGGCATGGCTTTCTGGTTTCCAATTCTTGTCTATCTTGGGAGGGTAATTACGGTGGGAAACCGCGCCAAACAAGCTTAAGGAATGAAGAAAACAAGACGGTCCTGTCTTCAAAAGCAATAGTTCCGTGTTGTGCTGGCCATTGCCGTTGCCCGGGATAGCTGTTCCGGCTACGCTTGTTTCCGGCCTTCCTTGCTTTCCACGGGCCCGCCGCGCTCGGCAAACACAAAAACGCGCGTAGATGAGCGATCTACGCGCGGTTTTGCGTTCTGCCTGGTTTTTGGCCGCGCTGGGCTCTGTTGTGGTCGGAACCCGGGATAGCTGCTCCGGCTACGCTGGTTTCCGGCCTTGGTTGCTTTCCCCGGGCCCGGCAAACACAAAAACGCGCGTAGATGATCGATCTACGCGCTGGGGCCACTCCCGGTGCTGGCAATCACGAAGCTCTCAGGGCGCAGCTGCGGAAACTTCGGGGGGGCCTAGCTGGCTGGGGAGCCCCCCCAGAAGCGGGGACGCCTCGAGGTGGGCGACCACTTGGAGACAGGCAGAAAAGGGGGCGAACCGCCAGGGGGTCATGGGGGGACGCTGGCGCTTCAGGATGTGAAGGAAGAGCTGCGCGTCCCTCCAGAGCCTCGCAAGAAGAGGAAGAGAGTCAAGAAGAAGGTTGCGAAGGATCCAGGGGCCCAGCTGCTGGCACAGGCCGAGCAGCTTCGTGTGGCCAAGATGCAAGAAGTCAGACAGAAGAAGAAGAGAAAAGAGAAGAGAAAAGGAGGAGAAAAGGCAAGGGCGTTGGTGAAGGCGCTCCTAGGAGGTCAAAAGAAGCAGAAGACGAGCGGCAGAGATGGGGACCCGTCGAGCTCTCCAGACGGGAGCCGTGGGGACTCGTCGGACGAGGACAAGGAGGAGTCCTCAAGCTCAAGCGAGCTTTTGGCGCCCTTACAGAAGAGGTCTTCAAAAAGGCCTGGCGCTGTCCTCAAGATGCTCCTACATCATGCGAAGACTGTCGAGACGGCCGAGGGGGACGAGGTGACGACGGGAGTCAAAATGACCTCGTACTTCAACTTGATGGTCCGTCCCTACTACAACGCCTTGAGCCGCGACATGAAGGAGCTCAACCTTCTGGCTATTTGCCTGGACGAGCTGCGGGCGGGAGAATTGGGGAAGCTGGGAGATTCCCTTGCTTCCCGGTTCCTCGCCATTCATACAGCCGTCAACGAAGGCATTGGAAGAGCGCCCAGTACCTCGAGCTCCATCCCCTCGAGCCCACTCAAGGGGCACCCATGAGCCTGCTGCTGGAGGCCAAGAAGCACGGCCGACTGGTGAGCAAGAGCCAGGGAGCAGACGAGGGAAGGTGGGGCCGAGGAGATGGCGACAGCTGGAGGGCGGCGCCAAGAGGAGGCGAGAGCAAAAGCAAGGACAAAGGAAAAGCTGCAGCAAGGAGGAGGCTGGTCGCAAAGAGAAAGAGTGGTGGGCGAATCAGAAGGACAAGCCCAGCGGAAAGAAGACGAAGGGGGCCGATGCGCCCAAGGCAGCGGAGAAGTGAAGGTGAGGAGTAAATGAGTAAAGTGGCCGACGGCAATGGCCCAGAAAGCATTGGTCTCAGAGGGGACTTGCGAGACTTTGAGAAGCTTTGTGCTGGAGGAGTTTCGCTACAGCTCAGTGGGTGCCTCCTGGCCTGGCTGGTGATCAGGGGTGAGGAGGACTCACTCTCCCTGGGTAAGCTGACAGCTCTGGCAGTTGTGCTTCCCAGGATGGGTGCTGGCAACCGTGCCGTGCATCGAGCCTCTCGTAAGGCTCTTTTTCCAATCCGGCTTGGTGAGCTGGATAAGCTGTCAAGAGCAATGTCTCGAGCCAGCTATGAGGAGGTGGTTTCCGATTCTTTCCGTGCCACATGGCATGGATCTTTCTTTCCGTGCTCTTTACTAATTGGTTGCATGGGCATCACGGCATCCCTGCTGGTCGCTGGCGGAAATCCGACGCGACAGCAACTTTGAGCATGCGTGCCGCTGTACAGAGGGTTCTCAGGCTGGACCAGCAGATCGTGCGAAGTCCCGAGGCCGTGGAAAAAGAGCTTAGCAGTCGTTTCATCAGCTACAGTGGGGAGGAAGTTCCCCGCATGGAACCACTCAGCTGTGATCAGATTACCCCAGCATTGCCACCACCGGGTCATGGGGGTTCTATCCCGGTCACAGATTGGACGGCAGGAAGAACTAGGTCGTTTCTCTTGAGACCTGAAGATTATGGTTGTTGATCATGGGCAAGCTGTTCCAAAATTGCAGGCAAAGGTTCATATTGTAGAAGGTGATCGCATGGCTGGCAGTTGCTGGGAAATTGGTCGAGCGTAACATTTGCAGTTGGGTGGAACTTGAAGAAGTTGTCACGTTCAGGGGTCAAAAGATTCTCAATGGATTGTTTGGGGTAGCCAAGAGCACCTTGTTGCCAGACGGTCGGCCTCAGTTGAGGGTCATCATGAACCTGATCCCGCCAAATGCAGTAATGCAGCAGTTACAAGGGTTGTCAATGAACTTCTGGGTGTTACCCAGTACTTGTCTGTGGTGTTGGAAGATAGTGAAGAGCTCCGCATGTGTCAAAGCGATATGACTAGTGCGTTCTACCTCTTCTCTCTCCCCTCTTCCTGGCAAAGGTTTCTGGCATTCAACTTACAAGCCAAGGGGGAAGACATAGGGCTGCGTGCTGGCGTGCTCTACTGCCTGGCATGCAAGGTCCTCCCCATGGGTTGGGCTAGTGCGGTCTCTGTCATGCAAGAGGTAAGTCAAGCTCTACTCAACCATGGTGGCCTTCCTCGGGGAGAGCAAGTGCTTAGGACCAAACCACTTCCCACTTGGTTGACAGAAGTGCTGAAGGCTGCACGGGTTACTTCGACGGGGTGGTACCACGTCTATTTGGATAACTTCTTCTCGGGGGAGCGCTTGGGAGCAGGTGATGCTGGTGGTCGCGCGCGTGAACTCCATAGTCTAGCGGAAGCTGCGTGGAATCTGCAGGGGTGCTCTCTTCGGAGAAAAAGAAGGTTGTGGAGGCTGAGGCGGTGCAGGAGCTTGGGGCTATGTTTGATAGTGAGGCGAGGCTGCTAGGTGCCTCTGCTGAACGGCTGGTCAAGCTGATCCAGTCTACTGGAAAGAGAAGATCCCCCGAAAGTGGTTGCAGGTTGTGTGCGGAAGGTGGGTGCATGTCCTACAATTCCGGAGGGCAGGTATGGCTACTCTTCATCAGGTTTGGAGATGGATTGGGGGGAAGAAACTTTCTGCGAAGCTTGCTGGTGCTGCACGGCAAGAACTTCTTATGCTATGCGCGGGGGCACACCTTCTTCATACGTTCTTGGGTGCTGAGGTGAGTCAGGTTGCCACCGCGTCGGATGCTTCTGGCAAAGGGGGTGCAGTGGGGCGCGCTGATGCTGTTTCATCTGAAGGTAAGCAGTTTTGTCAGGCACTGAAAGTGAGCCCGGACTGCACTGTAAGTGGAGGCATTCTGGTTGTGTCCCTTTTCAATGGGATTGGGGGTGCGTTCCGTGCGTACGACCTGGTGGGTGTCGAGGTTGCAGGGCTTATCTCCTATGATATCTGCAAGGCTAGGAGGTGGCCTCATGCCTCAGTTCAAGGCGATGTCAGGGATATCACCAGGGAGACGGTTTTTGGTTGGATGCTTCGCTACCCCCATGCAACACAACTGCATTTCTGGGCCGGCTTTCCTTGCGTGGACCTTAGTGTTGTGAAGTTTGGTAGGCTCAACTTATCTGGGCCACAAAGTGGCCTATTTGTTGAAGTCTTGAGGGTGCTGGAACTTTGTCGGAAAGTTTTTGGAAGGCGATTCAAGGTGCTTTTCTTTGTGGAAAACGTGTCCTCAATGGATAAGTCGGCACTACAACAGATTAGCTGCGCTTTAGGAGTTACCCCTTACCGCGTACAGTGCGCTGAAGCGGTCCCCATCTCGCGCCCGCGCTTCTGTTGGACTAACCACAAGCTAGAGGCTCTTCCAGGTGTCTTGCTCGTTGACAAGGGCGACTTTGTTGAGGTGATAGCGAAGAATGAGTATCCTCCTATCCAGAGCTGGTTAACTGAAGGGTGTGAGTGGGAGCCTGCAGACCCCTCAACAGTGTTCCCTAAATGTATGAAGGCTATCAAGCGTAGGCAACCTCCCCCAAAACCAGCTGGCCTTGAACGCACTCCAGAAGATGCTCGAGGGCGATGGGCTGCTGATGACTTCCGATACCCCCCGTATCAGTATAAGAAGCAGTATCTGATATGGTCAGATGATAAGTGGAGACTACTTGACTCCTCCGAGCGGGAGTTGCTGCATGGCTATGGCTGGGGACATACTAGCCTGTGCATGAGTGCCAGCGAAATCAAGCGAAGTCAGCAGGACTATGAAGACCTGCGGTGCTGCCTCGTGGGTGACAGCTTCTCCCTCTACTCTTTCGCGTTGTTTTCCTGGAGCGCGTGCTCTCGCTTGTGCCAAACATGACGCTCGCGCACCTCTACTCTAGGATGGGAATGGCTCCGGGATTCTGCGCTCCTCCTTCTACATCCTGTTCTTTGGCTAGGAAACTGGTATATGGGGATGGTGTTCCTGGGCATCTCACTGTGGGAGACCTTGCTCGGGAACTCCTTATACCAGAGTTAATCACACAGGCAGCGATATCAGGGTTAGTTCAGGAGCAGTTATGAAGGCGAAAGCGTTCCCTCGGCAATCAGCTTGCGCAGATTGGTGGCAATGGAAACACGTTTTCAACTGCCGATGGCAGAAGACTGAACACATCAATCGGTTGGAGATGCGTAGCATACTTTCGGCCCTGCGGTGGAGAATTCACCACCTGACTGAATCGAGTTGTAGGTTCATCCATTTAACCGATAGTTATGTTAGTATGTCTATCATTTCTAAGGGTCGCTCAAGCAGTGAGATGCTTATGACCATCATGCGGCAGATTGCCGCTGTGCAGCTAGGCTTCAATTCATGTAGAAAGTAGTGAGAATCCAACTGACGATGCAAGTCGTCTTTAGCCATGGTGGGGCTGCCTACCTTTGCTGGCATTAGGAATCGCCGGGCAAGGCAAGCAGCAAGACGAGGCATAGTGCTGCGTGATGCTGGGATCACAAAGCAGACCCAATCTCGCTATTACCTTGCCGTTTCTGCCATTTGCAAAGTGATTCATGACACTGCTTCCATGGAAGATTTTGACGAACAAATTGCAGACTGGATCGAAAGTGAATTCAGGAAGGGGTCACCACTGAACATAGTGGCAGATGGTCTCAGTGGTATCCATTACTTTTTGCCTAGCACGCGCAGACGTTTACCAGTTAGCTGGAAGCTCTTTGCAAATTGGAGAAAAATTGAGGTCCCATCACGGGCAGCTCCTTTACCTGAGGGCCTGTGCTGGGCTATGATGGCCCGCGCACTGAGGCAGCAAGACTTTGATTTGGCCAGCTTACTCGGCCTTGGTTTTCACTGCTTCCTCCGAACAGGTGAACTTTTAAGTGTCAGGCCTTGTGACATCCTCTTACGGGGTGAAAAGGGCATTGTGACCCTGCCAAGCAGCAAAGGTGGCACCAGGCACAATGTGAAGGAGTCAGTAACTATCTTTGAACCACACCTGGTGGTATTACTTGTGGAATTGCTGGACATCAAGCGCCGCGCAAACCTCATGAGGGTACCTATGTGGACAAAGAATGGAACGGCTTTCCGAAAAGCCTTTCACAAGCTGACTGTGTTCTTCAAGGTAGAACATATGAATTTCAGAGGGTACTCCCTCAGGCGCGGAGGCGCAACCGCTTTCTTTCAAGATTGCGGACTGATGGAAAAGACGCTCTTACGAGGGCGCTGGAATAGTGTCCAAGTTGCCAGACTCTACCTTTGCGACGCGCTGGCACAGCTGCCGGATCTTGTTGCTGGTCTTCAACAAGCTCCTGTTGAAACTTGTCGAGCAGCAACGCTGGAGCACGTGGAAAGGGGGGCGATCTTGCCATATAGATCAATGAGCCCCAGGCAAATGCCCTGTTTTGCCCTGCCATATGGGCCTGAAAAATTCGAGCCCTGTGCAAAGGGCGATTGTATCTCACAAGTACAGGGGTATGCAGACATGCATATCAAAGACCTTCATGCACGGCGCATCAAAAGGTGCAAGTGTGGGAAAGCAAATCATAGTTTCCAAATCATAGTTTCCAAATCCGCAGTTTTAGTTTCCAAATCCGCTGTTATAGTTTCCAAATCACGCGATGACCTATTAGAATTATCAACTTTTGCCATAATGATTAAAAATTATTTCAGATAATAATTTATAATATATATATATAATGATTAAGTAACTTTAAGATTTTTAGACTGATTTATTTTGTAGATGTTCTAATGAAATCGAATGAATTCTGATTTAAATTATCCCTTTGCATCTCATTTTCCATTCTTTCAATTTGATTTCTGTAACTCACCCTTTTATTTGCTTCTATTATGTCATTTCTAAAAGATATTAATTTATCTCTGGTTTCTCTTTCATCCAGTTTTTGTTTTAACCATTTCATGTATCTGCTGTCTCGATGTCGATGTTTGAATATTCCATAGTTATACCCGTTGCTGGTTTGCTCATTGTTTTCTGTCATTGGTTGTGTTTTGTTTTTTCTTTTGATACATTATATATTTATTTTGGAAATAAATTAATCATAAACTATTGTTCCGCTTTCAGTTAATTCCACAACAGATTCGGACACTAGATGGGTGTAAATTTCTTGGGTTCTGCTAGTTTTCTCTCCGCTGCTTTGATTTTTTTCGAAAGGAAACACCGATGATGAATTTGTGAGAGTGGTATTGACTGTAGGAGATGTCAAGCGAGTTCTGGTTATAATTCATATAATGTAAGGTTCGACGTAGGAAGTAAAATGCTTCTGAAAAAGACTGACATTCAGATTCTGGATACTTTTTTTTTGCTATTTGCATATGCCAACTTAAATTTCGTGTGTAATCTTGAAATCCTTTTCCTCCTTGTAAGGGGACTGTATCTGCCACGGACCATCATTGATTTCCCTATAGACCATAGGATTATAGAAATAATTCCATTTTTTGTAGATGTAGTTAGAAGGAAGTAAGTAGCCATATCCTGACCCTTGCCGTGGTGTTCGGTAAAAAGTAATGAAGGCATTCGTTAATTTAGAAGCAAACCTAACAATATTCATATTATCTTCTCCCTCGCCAGCGTTCAAAGTTTTTTCAGTTATGGTGTGGTATTGAGGGATGATAAATTTAAACTTTGTCCTTCTAACAAATGTTTAGTAATGTTATTATCAACTGTATTATCTAAAGTTCTTACCTCTATTTTTATGATTACATTATTAATTTGCCAACTTGTAGATGTATCACCATCTTGAAAATAATAGCCGTGCTGATCAGTTTCAGTATCGGGGTTTGTTCCAGCATCCCCTTGAAGGACTACGATAGGCTTGTTACCATTGCTGACGATTGTAAATTCTTATTCCAAAGGAGCAAAACGTAAGGGTAAATAATCAATACTTTCCAAAAAAACACAAAGCAAGGTTGATGACCTAATCTCATCTTTCCTTGAGCACCTGGTATACCACAGAATGAATGACGCGTAGGCCGCATATCAATTTTACCCCATTCATTATGGTCTCCATCTTGCGTGATGACCGTTCCGGGGTCGCCAACGGTTTTACATCAACAAAGTTATTCAATCCATTAGCGTATTTATGAGAATCATCATCCCAACTAGGATTAGCGCCACTTTCTAAATCGTCCATTTCATTAACTGCTTGACTTTTAAAACTCTTGTATAACTCACAGTGTCGGTTGTATTCAACGATGTCCTGAACAATCTGACCCCCGACCGTTACCCTATAGAGTTGGAAGAAACTGTGCAACCCACCCAAGGGTCGTAAAAACTTTGCCATAGTCCCATCGGTATTTTGTAAAGTAGCGAATAATCTCACACTGCTTAAGTCCAGATAGGTATTTGCATCGCCGCTAGTGTAAAATCTAATGTTTTTGTTTCCCGCATTTGGAGCATAAACGTTTGAACCGGAAGGAAAGTACTTGACTTGCCGTCGGTCACTGATGTATTGACTTGTCTCTGGTAAACCAAAATTAAACTGGTTATATAATCATTACATCGGAACTTTTCTGCTACAACATTATCCATTGCTATATATGAATTAATTAGAAATTAACATCTTGTTATTTCTTTTTATGTGGTTTAATCTTAACTTCATTTTAATATTTTTAATTAGCAATATTTTTTAGATTATTATTCCATTTTCTACCATTTATTTTAAACTATTATAATCTGAAGGTGGTTTATTCATCTCCTTTTCCAATTTCTTATAACTTGAGTGTGGGTTGGATAATGGTATTGCTGTAGGTTTACTATCATTAAAAAATATGAAACACTATTAATATTATTGTTAAAATAATATTAAGAATGTCTTTTCTTATGTTTCTACATTGATTTTCTTTGAATTTCAACACCACACACTTCGCATTGAGCAATTTTTTGGAGTTTTCATAGTATTTATTTTGTTTTTTCTCATAATTTCTACGTTTTTATTCTTTTACTTTTTCAGGGTTACTTATAGCATATTCTTTTTGAGATTCAATTCGTTTTTCACTTTTTTTTGGTAAAATTGTCTGTCGAGTTCCTTCTTGTGTTCGTGGTGCTCTTCTATCCATTCTTTGCTGGTTCTGTTTGGGATGAACAAGTTCAAAGATGGTTTCGATCTTGCTATGTATTTCCTTTCCTTCTGATATAGATGCTCTTTGTTTTGACATTCTGGGTAATCTTGAAGTAATACTATGTGAAAATATTCCACACCAATTTCATTCATTTTCTGATATAACTTTCCATTGTTGTGCTTGTTTCTGGCACTATACCGATGTTTTGCCATTCTGTTTCCAAGACTGATACACGTTGAACCGAAATGTCATCATCTTGTATATTAAACAAAAATATCTATTTTTGCCTTGGCATAATTTACCATTATACACTTTTTTATTTTTTTCATTCTTTAAATCTATACTTCTAAATTTTAACTGTTGTATTAGGTCTTATCCCGTTTGAAATGGCGGTGGTGGGTCTTATGTGCCACATTCCTTGACCTTCATTTTTTTTTATAGGTATGAGCAATAACGGGGTTCCAATCTACAAAATTTGATGTTTCGGCATATCCATCCAACATACTAACAACATCATTAGGGCATCTTCTGGGGTCTTGTTTACCTTCCCTTTTCTTTTTGATTGATGGTGTCGCATAAGTGGCAGTAGCAAATTTACTGGATTGTTCTTCAATGATTTTGTTAATCACCGCGGATGCCAAACTGTGCCCGACCAATCTGCTTACTTCCGGTGATTTCTTCAGTTCTTCTATGACATCTTTGTGTTTTTCAGTGTGTTTCGCATTTCCAATAGGCAATAAAAGTAAGTCATCTGTCCCAGACTTCCATCTTTCCCGCCGGTGCCCGATATGTAAAGTGTCTTACCTGTTTTGTAATAACCGTTTGGACTTCTATAGGCATTGTTCAATCCCTGTTTGTTTTCTATCTTTTCCTTGTTTGGTATGTTCCTGTCTTCTTTGTAAAGGGTGGTATTCTTTTTGAATTCATCGTTCAAATTTTTACCAAAGTTGTCCATTCTTTTTATTCAAATCCTCTTGTTTCTTATCAATGTCTTTCTTGAATTCTTCCTTACCAATCCTCATAAGTTCATCCAATGCTAATTTACCAGTTTTCGTTGCTAGTTCCTTCAACTGGTCTCTGGTTGAGACGTCTTCACTTGCTTCACCTCTCGTTATCCTCTCCATTGCTTCTCTTCCCAATTGCCGTCCTATTTGTCTAATAGCATTGCTAAATGCCATCCTTCGAACTCCACCGATAAAGCCAATCATTTATATTAATAGTTATAAAAATCTCAATAAAATGGATCCAATTTTCATTTTAAACTAAAAGTTAAACATGAAAATTCTAGACACTTGATTTTTTATTGCAAGATGTATGAGATGTATCTTGAATGGTTTTGAATGAGTGTTGACCCATTCTCATCTTGGGTTGTTGTTGCGCATTGGACATGGGGAGACGAATCCAGAAATACGGGGATTGGCCAAACTAGGAAGTGACGCAGAAAATGATGGTAACTGTGTTTGGAAGTTGTGCTTCATTGGATATCCTCAGCTCTTGGAAAGTGCTCACAGTAGAAAAAATGGTCAAAAAGTGCCCTATAAAAAGGTATTTTGCATTGCCCATTCATGCCCATTAGGTCACCTACTCATACCATCCCACACCTTGGCTCTGAACTTTGGTGAGTTCTCGACGCCAGGCCATCCCTGAGGCTTTGAAACTGCAGTTCTCTCGTTGGAGGCACTGCACTGGGCTGATAGAGTGCAGCATCCGAAAAGATCGGTTGTGACGCCAGCCCTTTTCCGCCATTGAAGTCCAAGAAGATGTGCCACGCAGCAACGATTTGGGGAATCATGGGACTGCTTTCCTAGCGATCCCTGGTGGCTGAGTAGGCTTTAATTTCTTGTTCCTTTGATGTCATGGATGTTTTGAAGCAACCTCGGACATCCAGCCATCAAAATCATCGCCGAGGCGCCGAGTTTTCAGAGCCGGGAACCACGTCGAACTGGCCGGCCCAGCGCCCCAGGTCACAGCCTTTTGGTGAATTCCAAAATGCCAAGGTGGAACTAAGAAAAGACGCCCTTGTCCAAAAAAAACGCTGGATACATGTGGATAGCCTTATGATATTTGATGCCAATTTTTTCAGGGGGAAATTGAAAATCGTAGCCAATTTCGATGTTGGGATTCCGTTACAAACCAGGCCACGAGGTTGGACAAACCATGGCCAACTTGGTGCTCAGAACCCAACCTGCTTGCTATCCTGGCTGTTTGGCTCCCAAGGGTGTCAATCCCAGTGAACTCCTGTCACATGCTTCAGGGCAGGACGCCACCAGGATTTGGAAGGAGGACATCAACCATCGATACATCGGAACGTGCCGAAAAACTCAAAAGTGGATAACCAAAAAAATTGACAAGGTGAAGGGATTTGCCGCTTCTCGCAGCTTAAAACATCAATATCCCAGGATTTGAGACATTTTTACTGGGTTTTCCTCTATTTTGCGAGGAACACCCATGGTTTCCCCTTGATTTTTCCCTGAATATCACTCCGCTGATTCACTGATCGCATGGATTTTTTGGGTCTCTGCCGTGCGCAAAATGCCGTGGACGCGACGCGTGGCCTCGAGGGTGGAGCCGACGGAGCGAGTCCCATCTACCGCGTCTCGTTGCCGGAGTTTGCTGAAGCAGGAGTGGCCATGGTGCCAGGTGGGGGGAAATGGATGTTCCATGGATGTGTTTTTCTCGAAACATGTTTTTTGGACTTCTTTTTATAGATCAGTATGGATCTCTTTTCATGTGTTTCATGTGTTTCCAGTTTTTTTTTGGATCAGATTTACCCTCTGGTTATTTAACATAGCCATGGAAAATCACAATTTTTAATAGGTAAACCATCTATAAATGGGAAATTTTCCATGGCTATGTTAAATAACCAGATGGTATATGCTGAAGACATTTCAACCGCGGAATCCTGGGTTGATGTTTTTTCTTGGACCGGAACTGATGGGATCTGATGGGATTTGGTGAGGTTGGAAGGTGGGTTTTCAGCACCAGGTGTGGATGGCCTAGTGGTGGTGAGCCTCGACGAATCCGTGCAGAGGTGGAACTTGGAGCACCCGGAGCTGGCCATTCGTCGCGGCCATGTGGTTCTGGAAATCAACGACAAGACGACACTGGAAGAGATGCACCAGGAACTGAGGCTGGGATCAGTGGAAGTTTCCCGGTGATATCGTTGGAATGACCATGTGAGGCAGATTTATGATACATGTCCCCAATTTATTTCAACAAGATTTGGAAGATTTGCGGCAACCTCGTGAGAAACTGAGAATTTTTATAGAATTTTGCCAATGCCCTGGACAACACAGCCCAAAACATTGGGCGATCACCTACCATACCCATACCACGAGCCATCTGTCATGCTGATTCAAGCTCGTGTTCAGCAAAAGGCATCCCTCATCAAGAAACTGTTGGCTTGGCCCAGCCCCATAATTTGACCTCTCGATTTTTTTTTCGTATTTTTCCATAGGATTCCATGTTTAATCCTCCAGCATCATTTCTATTGGTGAACATCTGACATAGAATCAATGTATCGCACAAGGATTCGCCATGTCATCAACCCCACTTGGTGTGACTTCTCAGCTGATTCTCAGCCCAAGGAGTTTTTTGGGGCCTTCTGATTATCCAATTGGATGGTCCCTTCATGTCCCTTCTTGATGGCCTTCAAAATGACTTCAATTATAGTAACCCCCCAAAAAGATGCTGAAGTATAGTCTAGTTAATATCGTTCAACAATTTAGCACTAAGATTGGGCGATCCCCTCAATAGGCCTTTTTTCATGGCATCACTTAACCTTTTTGTCACCGACACCAGGCGTGGCTCCCTACCGCGGGAGCTACTGCTGAGCCGCGAAGATGGTGGGGATCTGCCACCCCAGCAGCGGTGGATCTTCGAAAAAACGCTGCAGCATCACACGGCCGACGCCTGGATGCAGAGGGTGGAAGCCTTGGACAAGGCATGGGGATATTCCGAATTTTTACTTGGGGTTACTGTATGATTTTGGATGATTTTATGGGATATTCATATAACTTCATAACACTTATATAATCTTTATATAATCTTTATATAATCTTTATATCATCTTTATATCATCTTATATCATCTTATATCCAATATACCATGATGTTTAAGTGATATTTAAACAACAATCATCATGGGGATATGATGGGGATATTACAGGACATTTTGGGACCTTATCATGAACATAAGAAATCATTTTTCCTTGGTGAGGAGGGAGCTGAGGAACAACGTTTTATATCCATATTCCCTTTTTAAATGGGGAACCAAGGAGCTGCTAAGAGTTTCCCAAGCGCATGATAGTTATGGGCTACGGGGGATATTATGGGATATATTGCTGGAATTCTTGGATATTTTTTACAGGGAAAGTCAAAAGGCCCATGGATTACCCACAGGTTGTAGCTGTCATTGGCATTTTCTGGCTACACGACCACGTAAAAAGGGATGATTGAGACCAGGTAACTGCAACTTGCGGTGTGAAAATCAGGGTGCCAAGGGGTTACCATGGTTTGGATGCCGCATCCCCGTCGAAGGTGGAAGGTTGTTCCATCTGCTTGGAGGACATGGCTGTGGCTTCGGAGGCCGTGAGGCTGCCATGTGGCCACTGCTATCATCCCAGATGTCTTAAGAATTGGTTCGTGAGAAAGCTGCGATGCCCCTTGTGCAATGTTGCAGTGGAATGAGTGGAGCGTGACAACTCAGATATTTGCAGCGCCAAAAGGCAGCTTCTTGTGACCTTCTGGGTGCGATCAATTTTCAAGTACAGTTCCTCCCCATTTTTGAACGGCCGGCGTAACGCCTGCCGTTCGCGTTGAACGCTGAACGAGGACCGGTCCTTACAAAGACGGAGCAAACTTGAGACGCAACGGAGATCTAGGGAGACTATGGTGAATCCTTGGTGCCTGTCTTTGTGGGCAATGCATTAGAGACTCTAGGACCACTTTTCAGAAGTGGTCCTGTCTGGTAGCTCGGAACTGTCCTGGATGTCTAGACCTTCCTTTTAAAAAGGCAGGGCTGGTGCCTGGACTTTTGCCTCATTGGCGCTCAAAAGAGAGCTGCAGGCCGCAAGTGGAAACCATAACCTATCATGACCTCATCAATTGGCATTATTGCAAGACACCCAACCTTGGATTTTTCAATCGGAAATCTGATGGTTTACTACCAGATTCCATCAGATTCCATCAGATTCCCAAGCTCAAATCACCTCGAAGATGATGGTGAATATTGGGAGGCCACCAGAAAATGATGGTGCAGAGGGTCCGAGGATCTATTTCCAGCATCTTTGCATTTGGATAGCAATGGTTCCAGATTCATGAACCCACTGAGTACAACAGTTTAGCTCATCGCATGTTCTCGCTATTTTGGGAGCCTTTTTTTGGTGGACGGATCCTGGTTTCATGTGGATTTGCTGTGCCCTCCAGTATGGAATCCAACATCCACAAGACTTTTGGAGGCGGAGGCATTGACACTTTGTGAGGCGAGCACCAGATCTGTCACGGAATTCGTTGCGGCTGCCCGGTGCTATTGGCTCAAGGTGCACAGCAGTTCTCTCCCTTTTGACTCTGGCACGGCGGATAACTACACGAAGCTGTGGAACGTGGCTCCTGCCAATTTGCTGTTCCTTTTCGATGCCTGGGATATCGTTCATGTTCGTTGATTCGGTAATGCGATCTTACTTAGCATTAAAACACTTTAGAACATGTGACTTTGGAGCTGTGCCACTCCGTTATGGCGTGGCCACCCAGAAGCCATTATAATCATTTATAATCTCTTCAAGGCAATCGCTCTTTCGAACTCCCCTTGACTGCTCGCGTTTCATGGCGGCCTTTGCGATTCTTTTCTTCCCGTATTTGTGGTCGCTCGTGGTGTCCCAGGACCTTGATGATCCGAAAAAAGCGTGGATAAAGTGGGTACAACTGAGGTTTATGAATGTTTGACCTTCGTAGAATTGCTAGGTCCATGGTTGAAAATGGTTGATGAAGTTGATGAATGTTTTTTGCATAGGCGGCCACAATGGAACCCCCACCATTGACAATGCAAATTCGCTGACAAGTGAGAGTCCTGAAAACACCAAGCGGTTCTTTTTGTGTTTTGAGGATTCAAAAGACACGACACCAACCTTTTGTCTTCCATGTCGTGGGCCCTTGTGATTTCTTGTCTCCACGTCAATACAAGGATGCCTGCGCGGCAGACCAGTATGGTTTCAAGGGTGGTTCCAACTGTGTCTCCAACGATGTGGCCTCCATAGTCCAACTCAATGTTGGCCAGTCCTCCAGCATCACCCTGACGAATCCCTATGAAGTGGCAGCAACAGGTCGCTCGATGGACCAATGGAAGCAAAGCTGGTGGAATCATCGCATGTTTGGACAGAGAACTGCAATCAACAATTCGACGATACGCATCATTTCAAGAAACACCCTCGTTGCATGCCAAAGGTAGCCTAGGCTACCTGAATTCCATGTACTTTAGTATATTATACGACATGCATATGGGTCGGAAGCAAATTCTTCGCGGCTTTTCAGTCTTCTCACGCAAAAATTTTCTTGATCTGTCTGTGTGGGAAACGTCAAAAGGTTTGTGTGATTTGTTGGGCTTGTTGTGTGATTTGGCTGCGGCGAAGAGTTGGTTTGGATCGTGTATGTGTTGGAGTCGGGGGGCGGTTTGTTGGTGAGATGGGTTTGTATCCAGTCAAACTTGCAAGTTTGCCTGTCCTTTTTTCCCCAACAGCAGAATGCTTTGGGGTCTTCAGCCATAGTAAAGGTTTCGGAGCAGACCGGAG